CTTAAGGTGCGAAAGTTTTGAGGCAGGATCTACATTAGCATTCAGCAAGAGAACTAAATAATAAATATGTAATCTTTGCATTTGATATAGTGACTTATCACTGTGACAAAATGTCTCCAATCGTTTTTGCAGGATTTACAGCAGAGTTCAGTGATGGCAATTTGTGGGCGAAATAGATAGCTATTTAAAGAGAAATAACTTGCAAGGGTATGGGGAAAAGTCAGGTAAATGGATTGTTTTGTCAAAAGCCAGGACAGGCACATTGGCCTTCTCCTGTGCTATTAATGTCTATGATTCTATGGCTAAGATGGTGAGCCATTACCAGTTTCTGATCCTCTTGCTTAGTCGAAAGATGTGTTTACCCCACGTTATGCTAAACTGAAGAAGTGAATTTTAACCAAAGCTGTGCCTTATAGACGTTGAATTTGATTTGCCAGACCTTCCCATTGTGCTGTCGGTGGATGAGACCTTGTTTATTTGAAGGTCCTTTATCATTTTCTCAGATGCCATTTTATTCTCTTTGTAATTTATAGTCTTTACCATTACCAATAACTAATCATGATAATTCTTGCATTTGATATTGTGCTTTATCGCGTCGTCGAGATGATTGAAAGCGCATCACAGGATTTTTCTGTGAATTGTAATGAATGTGTATTTTGTGGGTCATGACTTTGTATTCTTAAGTGAATACAGCAGCCAATTTGCACACAGGAATGTTCCACAAGCAGCGCCAAAATGAATGACCAATTTTATTTGGGGGATTGCTGCACAGCGGAGAAGCCCCCTTCCCTTTTCAAACAGAGCCATGGAATCTTTAATGTCCACCTTAACAGGCAGATGGGATGGGACCTCAGTTTAATGTTTCATTCGAAAGACGGCACCTCCAATAATGCAGCACGCCCCCAGCACTGCATTGGAGTGCTAACTTCTGCTGTAAGCTCAAAGTCCTTAAATAGAGTGATCAGACAAATTGGAGGTTTCGTTTGCTAATTGAAAATTTCTATTTAAGTGGTCAGAATTATTCACCTTAACTGGTGTTGTGTGTATCAGAACATTGCAAATTTGTGTTTCATTTTATTTTTAAACGTGCCCAAATGAGTCGACCTCTCCAGTTACAAGCCTGTCATAACATATTCCTCTTTTTTGCACTGGAGGGTTTAAATCTTGTAAACTGGGGAATCTTCAGGGAATGAAGAAGAAAGTGCATATTTTTATAGCTCCTTCTCATGTTGAAACATCCCCAAGCACCTCACAGCAATTACTGTCAAGTGAGTTGACTACAGGCAAAAGTGGCTGCTATTTTGCACGCAGCAATGGCTCACAAACAGCCATAAGTTGAATGCTTTATCTGCAGTGACATTGGCCAGGACATTCGGGGGAAACTCTCTTCTCTTTTCAAGTAGTGTCAATGGACCTCAGTTTCAACGGGTTGACTGAAGGATAATAATGCAGCCCCTTATAGCACTGGAACGTCAGTTCAAGCAGTGTGCCCCAATAATAATAATAATATGTGCAGAGCTGGCATCTACAATCTACTGAGCCTGCAGCACCGTATTCAAAACTAAATCAATTTCAGATCCAGGGTTACTGTTAAGTATTGATGAAAGAGAGTGGCAGTCCAGTCTCACTGTGTGTTTGGGCTTCAATAGACTCCCACACGTAATTCTGTAATGTGAGATTGCTTTTGTAATTCTCAATCTCAGGTGTATCTTCAGAGGGGACGTCATCCCGAGGTGAAAGGAGCTTTACAAATGTAATTTGTTGTTATTGCCCGAGATTTACCTGTGGGTCCCAGACATTCAGACATTTACACTATACTTTGATTTTTGGTCAGTTAGGTGGCTGACACATGCGGAAACCCATCACCGAGTATATAAGAGTATCCAGACCAGACTGAGGGTTCCGCATGTGTATGTCGCCTGTTCTCACATCACATTGTGTCAGTGTTTCCGGGAACTGGCTCACTTGCACCTGCATTGCTTTGCACGAGAAACTAGCAGTGCAACAAGGTTGGTTTTGCGATACGAGGGTGGAACCATCAGGAATGCCCCCCAAAAAAATGTTTGGGGCAAGTTTGGTTTTGCAGAGTGTAATCAGGTGAAAAATGCGTGTTTACTGATTGACCTTCTCCCAAACCGATCAGCATTTGTTGATGGAAATCGGGTTTAAAAAGATTTTAATGGTCCTTATCAGTGCATGATCAGCTGCATTGGCTGAGTTAAGACACAAAGGAGTGACTGGCAAGCATTTTTTACGTGGGGTTTAAAGACTGATAAGAGTTGGGGGTGGGAGGCAAGACGGAGAGGTAGAGAGAGGGAGTTCCAGGGGAATCCAGTTGCTGAAGACTTGGGCATCGGTGGTGGGGAGGATGAGATGGGGGACATGCAGCAGGCAGTTTGCTGAGCGGAAAGGAGGGAACAAGACACCTTTCAGCAGATACATTCAATTGAAGAACATTTGTTATTAACTTAAATGAACATGGAGTGGCCGAATAATAATAATCCTTAAATTTTATATAGTGCCTTATCACAACAACAACTTGGATTATATAGTGCCCTCCATGCCGGACAGCATCTCAGAGCACTTAAACTCCATTGAGACGTATCATGCCATTGAGATGTCTCAAAACGCTTCACAGCGTATACTGTAAAGTGAATTGACTGCATATTTTGTGGGTGGAGGAAAAAAAAGAGGTGAAAAGCATTCCAAAACACACAGGACAAGTTGCAGCTTATTTTCTCCGAACTGAAGCTCACCCACAACCAATGTGTCCCACCCACAGAGATCATAGCAGAACGTGTGACCCGCAGTCAATTTAAAACAATACTATCATTGATTTTGATTTCACACACATACATCTTCAGACTGGAGTGTGAACACATCACAGACACAGAAAACCATCACTTTCAACTGCTCAGAGGAACGACACAGCTTAAATCTCAAAACCCAAAGAGTTTCACGTTGTAATCTTTGATGCAGCTTTTGTTGATTACTCTCCCCCCCCCCCCCCCCCCCACACCATCAAAATGCTTGTGGGTTTTTAGGTCATTTATCTATATGTTCAATTTTCTTGAAAGCACTTTGCACTTAACATGCACTGAGTGTCTTAATGTCTATGTAGATTTTAATGGTTCATCCTATCGGAGTTACATTCTGATCAAGCCAATTTGTAGCAACTTGGTTGTTTGTTTCATGTAACCAAATTTCTTACTGAATGACAGAAAAACTTATTTTCCAAGGGCAGAAATTATAAATTTTCTCATATCTTTCCGGTTGCTCTTTCTGTAGTGAGAAATGCCTCACTACAAATCTACATACAGATATCTGATGAACATTAGACCAAGCACACTTCAATCAGCAATATCTGGGACAAGTAGCCATGGTTCCACCTTCAGTAAACTTATTCAGGATATAATAATAATAAAAACTTTCATTTCATACAGCACCCAATCACATTGTCACAATAACTCATCACTTCACAGGATTTTACCGCTAAGTATAGCGGCTGTGTATCTGTAGGTGAGCAAATTGTATGTCCAGCTTCTTAGTAAATTCCTAATCTCCATTTAGCAGCTGTATTTCTGCATTGACACAAATACCACTTGCTTCAATGGCATTTTAACTACTTGTCTGCATTAGTGATCCATCAATAAATGTTTTTAGCTTTTTTTACGTTGTGTTTTGTATTGCGGTTGGGGATCTGTCAAACTGCAATTGCTTCTGAGATTCAAATCTCGGCACCCGTGTTACAGTAAAGTCATCTTAACATTGGAGAGAGTACAGCGAAGAATGATTAGCTGGAATTAGGTACCAGAGTTATAAGTAAAAGTTATATTTACTGGGAATATTCACACGCACACACACTTGCTTTCTTTACAGAATCTGTTGATATTGCATCTACAGCCTTCCAGGAAAGTGCATTCCACATTCTCGCTGCCCTTTCTGTAAAGACATGTTATATCTTCTCTTCCCCCACCACTCCCTGAAAAGGAGCACACACTTTTCTCCCCACCCCCCACCACCCCGCTCAAAAGAGGGATCATACACTGCTCCGAACTCATAAACAGAAACTCTGTCAATGTGTAGTTCGAACTGGAGGCTCATAAAAGCACAGCAAGGGGTTTCCTCGCATGTCATGCACCTGGCTGACCAAACAGAACAAATAGGATGGGGTGAATGAATGGTCCTTTCACATTGTGATCTTCTGTTACTGAATGGCTCTATGGGTTTGTAATGATGGGCATCCAAATGTGTCATGTACAACCTCTACTAAGAGGTTGGATACAAAGTAATTGCAGAGTAGCTTCAGAATTCTGCTCAAACGTTTGCAGATGTGCTCTGGAGAGGATACGATGTTCTGTGGGAGATTTATTTTGTTCCTCACCTCCAAGAAGAACATTCTGAGCGATTCCCAATGAAGGACTGCATTCATAATAATAATCCTAGATTGGATAAGAGAGCCTTTCATGTCGGGTGGATGTCTCAAAATCTTTCACCGGATATACCTAAAGTGTAGTAATTGGGTATTTTGTAGGTGAACACGGCAGCCAATTTTGCACACAGCAATATCCCACAAATAGCCATGAAGTAAATGAACTGTTTTATTTTGGGAATTGTTTGCCAGGATACTGGGAGAAGCTCCCTTCTCTTTTCAAATAATGCCATGGGATCTACCTCAGATTAACCCTGGCGGAGAGGACCTTGGTTTAACATCTCAAACAAAGGAAAGTATCTCACATATGCAGCACATCCCAAGCACCTCATTGGAGTGTCAGCCCAGATTATATGTCACTGAGTCTGCCAATGTGTAGAACTGTAAAGGAAATAGCAATAAGATCGAGCTAAAAAACAGCAATACTGCCACTCGTGAACAATTCATAGCGTTTTCATTTTGTATTAACAAGAAATGGACGACGAATCTTGTATGGGTCTATGGTTAGAAACCTATAAATATAGTTCTGGTTTTGACAGCACTGTGTTTTTCCCCCTGTTCTTTGCAGAATAATGGATCCCTGAACTGGTGTCAGAATCACAAGCAATGCTCAAAGGTGAGTGCACTCAAAATCGGTCATTATCACACGGTCAGGTAAGTGCAGTCTCCATTGTCAGCCTTATTTTTTTTCACAGCGTAAATATTGCAGTGGATCATTTTAACGTGGCTTGCACAAAACAAAACACTGTTCGATTTAGCCTTTAAGAGGTTGGACAAAATATACTGTTGTCAGTTTTAAAGAAAATCTATCCAGTCCCTGTTTTTGGTGTGCTTTAATGATGAAATATGAAGATGTCCAACGTGAAGTCATTCATTCACAACACCAAAATAAAATATATCTACAGGAGTGACCCACATCAGGCAATATGCACCCAGTGTTATTTTAGTAAAGGACACACAAGCCTTTGTCCCCATTTCTTACTGACTCCTTGACCCTCACAGTAACACAGCTCATACCTTCTTCGTAAGGTTACATGCAAATCTCTCTTAAGTTTCCTAGTGAGAGGGAACAATGTGGTTTGGAGCACCCAGGGTCAGAATGGCACTGGAACTCACAAGCTTGGGCTGTTCCTTTGAAATAGATACAATCAAAAGGAACACCCTTGCATTCCTCTCGGAAGGCTATCTGACTCAAAACTGTGAGGAATGACTGAAGAGGAGCTGTCAGCTGCTACTTTGTCTTCATATTGGCTGTCCACAGCAGGTCGTTCCGTGACAACCAGCAACGAGCAACGTGGGGCTTCCATAATGCTGACTCCATGACAACTTTTTTAAAATAATCCTGGCGCACTTCACTGTAATGCTTCAATATTTATCAATTCATATTTTGTGTAGGAGTGTACTTTTGACGCCTGACTGGGATGTGTGGCTTATGTCTCTAACATGCATTTTGTCTTTAAAGTGTTGTTTTACTAAATTGATGCTGCTTGTGATGCAGTATACAGAGGTTAACGGAAGATTACAGAGCCTAACCTCTGGAGCTCCCTCTGTCTCGCCCCCTCTACATCTGTCTCTAAATCCCACCTAAAAACCTACCTCATTGACCATGTCTGTGGTCACCTCTCCCTCTCCCTTGCTCAGTGTCCAACCAAATCCTTGTAAAGCACTCAGATATTAACCTACTTGAAGAGCGATATATAAATGCAAGTTGTTGTTTAAACTGATTACAAAGCTTTAATCAGAGAATTTATTTACCATCGTAAACTGAGATTGAGTCGTTTATAACCTTTATCTGAACATACAGATTCAACCATAGCTTGAAACCAGTCCTTGGATTATCTGTGATTGCTTTGAATATATTACTTTTCATTCATTTGTGCTTTTTCAAAATGTTTTGGGGTCATTTTTTTTAATGCCAACGCCAACAGCATGATGACTGGTTGGCTATGTTCAGGATTGCATGGTAACCAAGCTTTAGAGAAGGGGCAGCATAGATTTATGGGAATGATACCAGGAATGATTCCAGGATTGGGAGGGGTGTGGGAGATGCTAAACTGTCATGCAGCCCTGTTATAACATGCTTCTTTATAGCGTGAATTTGGTTATAATGAACTTGGATATAATGATTGCACTGTAGACCCATTCTCTAGCCATCCTGTGTGCGAGAGAGACATGGGTAGGTACTCAGGGAGCAACAGTATGGAGGGATATGACAGGAAGGTGAGGAGATTATCATGGATTTTTCTGTGAGAATGGGCTTGATACACTGAATGGCTTTCTCCTGCTTCTAGTTTCCTCAGCCGAGTGACTGAGATAGACCTTGTTCAGAAAAGGTTATGAGTTCGGATCACAAGGAACGTGCAGTCATCAACACAGCGGAACAATATATTCCAACTGTTTGAACAAATGTGCATCTTAAGGACTATACTTACTGCAGAATCCAAAGCTAACATTTACCGTCAGGTAGAACAAACAAATTAATGTGAGGTCAAAGATAATAATAATCCTTGCATTTGATATAGCACCTTTCAGGTCAGGAGGACGTCTCAAAATGCTTCACAGGATTTACTGTAAAGTGTAGTATTTTAGTAGAAGAATATAAACAGATTACAGCACACATTAACAATTATATCACAAGTATCTCTCAGTTGGCCTAGGTGACAAGTGATATAAAATTGCCACAATTTGACTGTATATAGTTGTGTTACTCGCTCTGTGGGTCAAATCGAATTGTGGTTTATTTCTGGAGAAAAACAGCATAATCCTGAGCAGATTACATCTGATTACAGTGGAACAGTCACACTCGCAGCAGGGATGCTCACTTGCTTGAAAGACTAGATATTGAGGAGAAATCGAATAATACTTGCAGTTGTTTTTGTGCCTTTTATGTTGCAAGGGTGTCTCAAAGCACTTCACAGAGTGGTAGATGAGAGTTGGATTTTAATGTTTTGCAGAGAAACCCACCACTACGCTTAGGACTATCGAAACCAGACAGAGTTCCACATATGTACGCTGCCCTTCTTGGAAATTTCACCTGTGTCTGGATGGAATGCGCCCTTTCTCCTTGGAGGGACACACCCTGCTCACCTAATTCTGGAGCATATTGGATACAGATTGGCAAGAACCAAGGCTTGGGGACCCAAAGTGTGCAGAGGGCAAACTGTTGGATGTAACCAGCTACCTTGCCATTGAGAGCGCTGTCTGACAAGCTCTTGTGCTATTTGTCCACCTGAGACCACCGTACCTCACGGGGCTTTGGCCACGATTTGCTCACAAAGTACACGGTCAAATTCACTTTAGAATATATTCTGTGAAGTGCTTCGAGACGTCTCAAAGAAGTGATAAGGTGCTATATCATATGCAAGATTATTATTGTTATTAAAGGGCTAACGGTATCACCGAAGCTTTTGACGGAGTCTGGCACTGTCCATTTCTAAACAAGTTACAGTTTTATGGTCTTACATCAGAGTTTCTTACTGACATTCTAGTTTCCTCTCAAGTTGCTCTACCCATGCTATAGTTGATGGTTCATTGATTCTTCACCCATTATCCAACCCTATCCATCCTTCAATGCTTTTGCTCACACTCTCTGGAACTCTCCAAAAATCCCTCCATCTCTGTCCCTCGCTCCCTCCCTTCCTTCCACCTTGAAAACCCACCTAAAGTATTATCTCATTGACTGTACCTTTGGCCATCCCCCCCCTATCTTCCACCCCGTTTGGGCTACATTCTATCTCTATGAAGTGCTTTGAGATGTTCTCCTACATCAAAGACGCTATGTAAGTGCAAATTGTTATTGTTTTGCTGGTAATGCACTCTACATTCTTCAACTTTCCTTGGACCTTATGGCTTCAGAGCATTACTGAAACACTAGATTGCAATTCCTCTTGTGCACGTTGAAGGGGTGGGGGGAAAGAACATTTTGATTCCATCAGTTCTTCAAGGACATACCTTGGGTTTTCCTCATGTCTCTTGCAATTACCACAAACAAATAGTGGCTCCATCCTTAAACCCTTCTTCATTCAGTGACATTTCTGGGCTCGTTCTTTCCTGTAATCTCATATGGAATGCTCACTTCTTTTTCCACAGGCAAAAGTTACTTCAAGAAGCTCAGTTTTCTCTTTTGTGTCCAAACACTCACCCCGCCCCCCCCCACTCCAAACACACACACTCAAATCACTTAACTCGCTGTAAAGTGAATTCTGCTCAAGGCTTGATTGCTGCTCCTATATGAGAACAGACTCATCTTGTAGCTCCTTTAAAGTCATGGACAGAAAATGAGAATAGTCTGATATAGATGATTCTTCTGTTGCCGCTAGCTTCACAGTTCACCCTCTCACACTCTGAACTCTGTGGCACAACCTTGGGCTTTTCTTTATTGTACTGAACCATTGTAACCATAGATGTCAGCCCGGCTCAGTGCCAGATCCCCGGCTGACCAAAACAATCAAAATCGCAAGGCTGGGTTTTGTATGATTGTAGATTGTAGGAACACTGGGGACCTGTAGTGTAGTGGTTAGTGTACTCGCCTTGCAAGTGAGAGGTCCCAGGTTTGATTCCTAGCTGGGGCGAAGCCTTAGACAAGTTTCCTTCCACACGCCTCTGTTCACCTAGCAGTAAATAGGAACCCGGTTGTTAGTCGATTGGTAGATCGCTTTCCGGGGCTAATAATCCCTCAAAAAAAAAATCCTGACTGTTTGTGGAACACTGCTGTACATAATTGGCTGCCACATTTCACCCACAAAATTCATAGTCAACCTACTTTACAATATATTCTGTATAGCCTCGGCTGGACTATTCAAATGCTCTCCTCGCTGGTCTCCCCTCCACTACCATCCATAAAATCCAAGTCATCCAAAACTCTGCCGCCTGCATTCTTACCCGCACCAAACTCCGCTCCCCGATTACCCCAGTCCTTGCCAGAGTGCACTGGCTGCCTGTCCCAGAGAGGATCGACTTCAAGACCTTCACCCTTGTCTTCAAATCCCTCCACTCCTCTGCACTCCCCGAGCTCTCTGACCTTCTCTCTCCTCAAAACAGTGGCTGTTGCTTTCGTTCCACTAGGTCTGGCCTCCTCCTTGTCCCTCGAGTCCTCCGCTCCACCCTCGGTGGCCATGCTTTCAGCCACTACGTCCCGAGGCTCTGGAACTCCCTTCCTCACTCCCTTCGCCTCGCCCCCTTTCTTCCTATTTTCAGGTCTCGGCTGAAGACCTTTCTTTTCGACCGCACCTTTAGTCACCTTCCTCCCCCTCCCCCTGGCTCGGCCCCGGGATCCGTTACTGTGAAGCGCTCTGAGACTCCGTCCGGCGTGGAGGGCGCTATATAAATCCAAGTTGTTGTTGTTGTTCTGTGTGGCCCTTTGAGACGTGTCAAATACAAAGATTATTATTATGATAACATGCGTACGTAGCACTTATACAAAATTTGCTGAAGTCACTTCAGCGTTAGCAATTCTAATGTGACGTTGACGGTCAGTTTATTATATGGTTTTATTAACACTGCCTGCAAGTTGAAACTATTTGATGCTACTAACCCATAGCCCTACACGTATTTGTTTGTATTGAAACTATACGCTTGTTGTGTTGGGATCACTGTAACCCACGCTTGCAGACAGAG